ATAAAAATATTGATATTGTTGTTTAAAGTACCAGTGTCACAAAGCTGACAGCTTCATCATTTGACGTGGAACAAAGTGTCGAAAACAGAAACAAAACAGAAAGCTGGTGAACTTCCAAGGTGTTTAAAGTGGACATGTTGTCTTGTGCAACAACTCCCCGTTTCTTCACACTTTAATCTGTGCAACACAATGGTGACAAAAACAAAATCAGTTTGATTTTTTTTATTGGAAAATTGGAAAATAAAAGGAGAGAACAAGAGAAAAGTCCCAAGAAACATTTCTTTTTTTCTTTTTTTGACACGTGTCTTTATCTTACCATAATCATGAACTAAGATAAAATAAATAAATTATTTCATAAATGAATAAATTAATTTAATGCATAAATAAATAGATAAATAAACATCAAGTACATTAGGCAATTAATTATAAAATTATTAAATCATCAGTCATTAATCTAAGCAGCAAGTATTAAAAAATTTCAACGGGGGAAAACTTTTGGTTTCTCAGGCTAACACAGAATACATTTTTTTTAATGAATAATATTTTTTTAAAGATACTGCTTTTCCTGTCAGTTAATCCATGCTGTACTGATGCTGCCACAAAACACGTGGCACTTCTTTAATAAAAAGATAAAAGAAAAATATTTTTACTTGTAAACAGCATTTTTTCCCTTCTTCAGGTATTAAATAATAGTTCTGAGATTCCTCTTTTTGCGCCCTGTATTTCAATGAAGCCTCCGCAGAGACTTTGTTTTACTGCCGTTTCCAAGTTTTTAAATGCTTTTTGTGCTGAGAAACCAAAAACTTGTTATCTTAATAAAGCAAGATCCAACCCAACCCACCTCCCTGCCCACCCCCTTCAAATCCCTAAATCCTATACAAAGAAAGGTCCTGTGCTGAATTTTCACAAGATTTCATATTTATAATAAGCTACTATCCTTAGCATTCAAACAATAGATAAAGAATCATATTGTTAATACGAGCAATACCAGATTCATCATCTTTGACCCTCCTGGCCCACTCCTCATTGAGCATGCTCAGAGACTAAAACGGCACAATGGTAACAGATAAATATTAAAAGAAGAAATGATAATAATGTATGCAAGAGTGAAAACTGTGTAAAAAGATCAACTTCAGCCCAATAACATGCAAATTAATTGTAAGACTACAAAACTCATTACTGCTAGTTCCCCTTATTCCACCCAAGTTACCTAGTCACTGCTTGTATTAAAAATAGTTCAGTTTGAGAAAAAAAAAAAAAAACGATTTGACTTATTCTTGCCTAATCTTATAGATTTTTAAGAAATTCTGGCACATTGTAACCCTCAGAATGTCTTGTGGGGAAAAGTTGGTTATGCATTTATTTTTGCATTTTTATATTATATTATATTTTTTGTTGTCAATTCCTTAAAATCAATTGTTTGTGTCTTGTTTCAGATGCAGTCTTGTTTCAGGGTAACTTTACTGCCCTCTAGTGTTCCTTTGGGTAAATACCAACCCTGTTGGCATCTATCATTAAAGCATTTTCTGATCCCATATTTAAATAGGCGGCCCAGAGGCCCAGTTGGTAGAGATGTTGCCTCTCATTACGAAGGTTACGGAGTAAAATCCCTGTCTAAGGCCTTTCTGGGCAGAGTTTGTGGGTTCTCTCCATGCATATGTGGGTTTTCTTCAGGTATTCTTTCCACAGAAATTCTATATGCAGGTAATTCTAATTTGTCCCAAGGAGTGAGTGAGAGCCTGATTGGTTGGTTGTCTCTACGTGTCCCTGTGACGGACTTGCAACTTGAGGGTAAATATAATGGATGGATGGATATTTATCTTATCATAAAATGATCTATTCCTTTCAGTAATGTATTTTCTTTGTACTTCTATTCCTTTTTATTTTTATTTTAGCTCTCTAGGTGGTGCTTCACTTTTACATTTGAAGGCTGGATCATGGTGCAGCAACTTACTCAGGATGTGTGCGTCCTCTTTGGCCACAATATGCACTCAAACCTGCTCATTTATCCAACGTAAATATTTGGGACAATAGCTCCACCTGCATGAAAGACTAAAGAATTATCTGCGCCTGTTCACTTGCATAAGATGGACCGGGCTGCTGCAACTTGATGGTCTATCTGGTTTAGTAAATGTAACAAATTAAACACACACTAAAAGTTGCGCACAAGGAAAGTTTTGAAAAACTAAAAAAGATTTAAAAAAAGATAGAAACTATGCTTGACCACCAAATGACATGAGCAAGTTTGACCAAAAACAAGGCCTATTTTTCTGCTACTGAATCTGGATTTAGTGGTGGGCACATTGATCTAAGCATCAATAGTGTTGATATAAAGATGAACATAGGTATCGGACTGATACTAACGTGATGAGTTTGATTCTTTCGTTGCACTTTATTTAGCGAACTTGTAAATTATTGGTAAATTATCTAAATGATCATTTAGAAGTAATATTGGCTGAACCCCGCCTCTACATTGAAACAGCATGCTTTTGAAGGTATTCTTTGTTGTGTTGTTGACATTTGTAAAACATTTGTATTTGCCTAAAATTATTGTCCTGTATTATAATGGACTAACTAAAGCCAAAAATCACAAAAATCATTCTAATGAACATGACATTTCAAGGACAAGATGTCAGCATCAGTATATGCATCTGTGATCCTAGTCCTGCATTTACTCGGTATTGGATCAACACCAAAATACATCTCCCACCACTATACTGTTGGTCGTACTAATGGGGAAAATGCATTCTTAAAAAAATTGCAACAAATAAAGATTTTGACAATTTAAAAATTGAATTGCAGATTTTATTTTTAATTAAAGGTTTTTAAGGAGCTAACATTTTAAATGTCATTTAAATTAGAATTTTTTTAAGGCTGCAACAACACTGCTAATTTGTGGATAAAGATATTATAGAATAGTACTTTTAGGCAGGTATGTGGTTGATTTTTCCCCAAAGGAAGACTTTTTGTCATAAAGTTAAAGGACCTTCTGAGGGTTAAAGTTTGATGAAGAACTAGAGTGAATATGATTGCATAATTTGGCAACATGATGAGAAAAGGCATTTTTCAAAAAAAATATTTTACAGCATTCAAATCCAGCTTAACAGAGAAATGTATACACTGATAACACTGAGAGTCTGAAGAGATCTCTGCTTCTTTCTGACACTGATCCGGTGAACACAGAGCCAAATAAAATCACATCTAATGGATACTGTCGTCAGGATCAGGAGAGGTGTTCAGGAAACATTTGTTGTATGAAACCACAAAAGTCATCGTGTTTTCCAAACTCTCTGCTTCAGTGCATGGGACAGACAGCTGAAGCACTGATGTGTCAAAAAATGGTTGAAGTCTTGAATCCTGAGAGGCAAAATGCTTCAGAGTAAACCCATTTTTAAAAATGGCCTTTTAGATTAGAAATATAATATAATCAAAAGAAAACCTAGTTGAGTAGATTGGACAGAAAAACAAAAACAGACAAATCTGTAAAAAACAAGCAAGTCTTGAGCAAGATTTCATATGTGATGATTTAAACGTGTCTCAGAGCAGAAAACATCACAAACTGGGTCAGTTAATTAATCTCATATGGTGCAGTATGACGGGCCACAGCCACACCATACAGGAGCCACGCGTGACCGGAGCTACCGGTAAGCTTTGCTGTTTGAGCAGCAGCCACGCTCACAGGCCTGCTGCCGCCTAACTCGTTGAYCACTTCGCTCCTAATCTGACCAAATAAGGTTCGTAATGCCAGGGTGCCTCTTACTGTGTACGAGCTCTTAGTGTGCTATTTTACCCTTAAAAAAACTATTAAAAAATACAGCTGCTCTTCACTGAAGAACTTGGACGATCTACTCTAAACTTTATATACAGACCTTGTTGCAGCGTTAGACATTTTAAGTGCCTTTAAAGAGGACACATTGCCACTGTCAGATTTCAGAAGTAAAATGGGAGAGAAAAAGACTGCGGTAATGATCAGCTCTGTCACTCAATCAGCTCGTTCGAAAATGCCAATGTGTAATTGATTGTGCATCTCTTGCCTCGCGGTGCTGCTTTCCATCTGATCAATACTATCAGTAATTATGGTTCGCTTCGGGGCCCCTCCTGAACTCATGGACCCTGTTAAGAGTTGGCATTTAAAGGTGAAAGAAACAAATGGGGTGGGGGTTGGGGTTGGCAGTGGGGAATGGGCACAGTTTTTTTAGCTGATTTGTATATTTTATAAGGCAGATCCAGTTGTTCACTGTTGTATATTCAGATCACTCAGGCTGCATTTTTACCACAGTGCTTCATGGTCAGATTATTTGTAAAACAGAGGCTTTAAAGCAATAGATCAGACATTTGGAATTAGGGTTCTGTAAAAAAGTTATTAAAACAATGATTTAAGCTGAATGAGTGACCTTAGTTTGTAGGAACTGCCCATGGTAACATTTGTCTGGCCCATACAATACACTTGGCCCAGATACCGCAAACAATGACGACCCTTTGGTGGCCCAGATGTGGACCATGTGCCAGAGGTGGTCCATGCACGGGTCAGCACCCCATAACCCAAACCACAACTGGGCCAGTTGGGACACGCCATATTAAGAATAGTGCCATCATTACCAGACCTGGCCCACATCCTGTCTGCCATGTGGGGGAAGTTTGATTTTGACACGACTGAATTGCTAACAGCTAGTCTGAAAACAAAACTACGTGTTGAAACAACTCCAACACAAAGCTTTTCTATAAACCTTTACATTCCCCTAAAATTCACATTATAGTTATTTGCATCAACCTTTATGGTTCCAAGCACAAACGGCGGCAGCATTAGTTAGCTTAGCTAGCAGTCTGGGACATTTTAAGCTAAAATGTCTTAATAGTTTTGCTGTGTATGTATGTAATGCAAATTTAACAAATGTGTAAAGATTTACTGTATTTATCCATGTATAATGCAAGAAATTTAACTTCAAAAATTATTGTTAAAAATATATTTTTGTTGAAGAGTTGACAGTTTTTTTCTACCACAGTAAGTTTCAACATTTTCTGATACAAAAGAAATATAATGTGGGGATAAATCATCATCAATTATTTCTCCTTCCCACTGTAATTTGTTGTGCACAGCAAAGCGTATAAACAACAACAGTAGTTTTTTTTCACACAGGAGTTGGAGGAGAAAAAATGATTTTGACTGATGTTAATTTTCTGCACTGTTTAAGTCTGCCTGTAGTTTAGCAATGGCAGCGAAGGAAATGAAGGAAACCACTCAAGTTTGTGTTTACAAAGCTTCTAAATAAAATAAATTTATCTGGCAAAACCTGCAGTGCTCATTTATACTGATCTCATTTGGCTTGGTACTTCTCTATTTCCAGCAGAAGATGGCTGTTTACTGCTGAAGCAATTTCCGGTTAGCTTCTTAGCTTAGCTTCCTTCACGGTCGAGCTGGTGCACTACATACGTCACAGCCAAAAGTTAGAGATTGGGTAAAAGCAGATCCAATCGTTTTAAACTTCAACAGAGGCCACGCCTTCAGCAACAATCGTTTTTCAATAGCCGAGGGTCCAGACCCTCTGCACGAAGCAAAGCGCAGAACAAAGGGAGAGGGTGCACCACATAGGCTGAAACATCCGGAAGCTTACGTGAAATTAGGGGTAGCATCACACATAAGGATTCGATAATGCTTTTTAAGCTCAGAAAATGGGGGTCGCATTTTTACTGGAGTGCATTATACATGCATAAATATGGTATTTTAAAAAAGGAACATGAACTACAGTTGTCTTTTACCCCACTTTGTTCCTGACCATCCCTCAACACTGCAGTTATCAAACCAATAAGTTTTAAACTCTTTCTCTCTTTTTTTAAACACTGGAGCTGTTCAAAAAGGATCTACAAGGAAGGTATTAAATTTTCACAACTTTTCAGCAGAACCCCACTGCAAAAAGATCAGATCTATCCCTTGAACGGTAACATAAAGAATTCCCGTTGATGATCAGTTATGGAACAGCAGCCTGCTGAGAAAACAACAGAGGGCACCGCTTGGTTTGTAGTTCTTTGATTTTTAGTGCTTTTGTGTCTCCTTAAAGACTGCAGAGCTGTTTTCTTCTCCCTGCGATGCCATAACAGACAGATCACAAGAAGATTCCAAGATGAAATGCAGGGATGAAGTGGCAAAAACGTACATATCTGAACATGCCCGAAACTAACCCATATTTTCTATGCTGCTAAAACAGTACAGCTTTATTTTTTTATACATTTTCAGCTTTGTTTTAATATTCTCAAACCCAGTAGCTATAAAGATAATAGGAAAACAAGTCAAAAAAACCCTTGCTGATATTTTTTCAACCTGAAGCTAGTATTTCTTTTTAAGTTTACCTTGTAATATTATTATTAGTAGTTTGTAGTATCAGTATCAATAATACTATATATAATACTGTTCAGAAGAATAAAAATGTTTGGTCCTTTGGTCCCTTAGGGGTAAAACAGTTGCAGTTCTGCTGTTAATGGAAACCTCAGTGACCACCAAGAGTCATAGTTCTGTGTTTGCGGAGAGATGGTGAGAATAAGAGAAAGAGGGAAAGAGAAAGAAAGTCTGTCAGTGGATGTATAGAACAGCTTCTTTTCTCCACTGTTTTTTTATCTTCAAGTGTTAACCCTCATTTGTCCAGTAAAAGCCACAAGTGCCTCTTTCCTTAAATATATATGTGTGTATATAATATGTATATAGAAATCTATTTGCTGTGGCTGCTTTTTTGTTTGTTAGTTTGTTGCTTACTTAACAATTCAAGTCTTAACGAGAAAAGTTCTGTTGTTCAGTCTCATCCCATCGCTTTCTGTTTTTGTTTCGTTCCTTTCATTGTTCCTGCAGTTTGTTGTTGTTGCGTCCCCCGTCGAAGCACGTCTTCGCCCTTTTTTCCCCCCGCATCTCCTTTTCTTCTTCCGTTCTACGTCTTTGTGAGTAAATGTTGATATGTCTTCAAAATATCCCTTCGTACGTTGATTTAAAAAAAAAAAACAAAACAAAAAAAAACCACATTTTGCTTTCAAAGAAAAAAGTTGAACTCCTCCAAGATATCTTTACGTGTCCTCTAAAACCTGTAAAACAGAAAAAAGGGGGTGACAATTTCAAATTTCACTCCTCATTAAACTGTCAATCCGACAATCTATTTCTTTAAACTTTGGATTTTCCAGTATGGCTCCATTATRTCAGTGTAATGGTGTGGAGAGTGCTAACCTCCACTGGCAGACCAATCAGTCTTTGTCAATCACAACGATGACAGATGTTCCCCTGATTTTCTTCAGTATAAAATCAACCCCTCCTACTATCCACAATACTGCGGGTACGTGGTTGTTGTGCAACTCTTTATATGTTAACTTTAAGGTGTTCAAGGGGTAAAGAAAAAACATTAGTTTGAAGTAAAATGACCTCATCTTTTATTACAGATTAAAAACAAAAATAGCAATAGAAAAGGAAATTAATTTGACCCAACAATTTATTCAGTATGTTTTGTCTAAAACATTCCCCTCAGGCATCACTACTTTTAAAGACTTTTTTATAGCAGCTTTGTTTCCACTCAGTCTTCCTGCCGAGGTTTCCCAGATTATTATTCTACCTAGAGTGTGTCTGTTGTGTTTCTGTTTTAAATTGTTTTGCTTCTTCTTTTCAACGTGACAGCTGCAGTTCTCAAGAAAGTTTTCATTATTTGGGTTGTTTAAGACCTCAACTTGGCCTCTGATGTTCTCTCTAAACACCTTTTTTAATTGACTGGATTCAGTGACTGACTTCACTGCAAACTGAGGTCTGAACAGTCAAATAATTTGTAAGCAAACGGTAAACGGACTGTACTTACTGTGTAGTGCCTTTCTATCCAACCAGGATACACAAAGTTCTTTACACTAAAATTTGTGCTCTCATTGACACAGCACTCTCTCTACAAGGCTAATCTTTATAAATCATTGTTTTGAAACTAATCAGTGCTTTAAATCACATTCTTACACTGATGGGACACACATCAGAGGCAGTGAAGGGTTCAGTGTCTTGCTCAGGGACACTTAGACATCATGTGACTGAATAGCGGTGGAATCGTACCATCACTTCCCTCGTTGGAGGACGACACCCCCCAACCACTCAGACACTGCCGCTACAACCACAAGTCTTTAAATTTTGCTCCACTTGGCCTCTAACTACGTCCCTTCATAGGCAAGACACTAAAAATATTGATGCCACAGACAACAGAACTTTATGTTCTAAAATATTTTCTAAAATAAAACTATTGATACTCTGATACTTCAGTCATTTCAGTTGATGTATATACAGTGGGTAAAATAAGTATTAAACACATCACCATTTTCTCAGTAAATATATTCCTAGAGGTGCTAATGACATGAAATTTTCACCAGATGTCGGTAACAACCCAAGTGATCCATAC